TTAGTTTTACACTAAAGAGCACAGGTTGGACATGTAAAAGTCAATTTTAGATCCTTTTTTATCTAAATCATCAGATGAAAGAGTACACTGGGTGTATTTTACAAACAAGCTACTTAGTCCAGCACTTTTAGAAGCTTTAAGGAATGCAATCAGATTGTAAAAACTAATGATAGACTGATGCGATGCACATTCTCAGCTATTTATTTTCACAACAGCCTTAAAATCTGAGAACGATGAAATTGTTTTTAATTAGAAAATTAAGATTTTTATGCATCTGACCTATGCAGAAGTTTTGTATAAAGGAGTTCCCAGATTGCTTTACCAGTGTATCAAAAGTAAATACTGAAAAAACTGACAGTCCTTCAAGCCCATAAAGGTACTCACAGACTTCTTGTTTTCTTTGTAGTAATGAGACTTTTAAAGTAGAATGATTAGAGGGCTTTCAAGGTTTCTTGTGCAACTGATAATCTAGATACTTAACCTAAGAAAACAAACCATTACTTTACCTAGATTCTGGTAGATAGATCCAGATCCCTGGTTGTGTAAACTCGCTTTACTTCTTTCAAATCCTAATGTCTCAATCAAATTAGCAGAAGAATTACCATAAAAAAACAACTAAAACCAACCAAAAAAAGCCTAACTTCAACAACTCAAATTTTCTTAGACCAGTATAAGTTACTAAAATAAAGCTTCAACTGATGAGTTAATGTAGACATCAATGTTACACCTCAGAATTTTCTAACATGGATTCTGATGTTATATCTGAATACAAAATAACTCAGAATCAGAACTGAAAATGTTCCAAAAAAGCCCCACCAAAACCAAAAAGCCTTTGACCATGTTCTCCCCTTCTAGAGACCTCATCTACCTTTCACCCCAGGCTCCTGAACTCTGGATTCACCTAACAGCACAGTTTCAGCTTGCTCTCTTGTGGCCAACATGAGAACTACAATTCTCCAGCACTGATGTTCATGGACCATCATGAGTGGTTCTTCTAAAGCATTACAAGCTTCCTCAGCTAACAGACACTTACAGCTGAACCTACTAAATGACTCAACTTTGAACTCATAATCAAGTTAAAGGGACAGAAGCACTCATCTGTTCGCCTGACATGGTCTCAAGGGAGGTGTGTTGCCTACCAGGGGCACGGATCAGGGATGTGGCAGAGAGGCTGCCTGCTCTAGTAAGTCCCACAGACTATTACCCACTTCTGGTGATACATTGGGTGCTAGGGATATAGACAGTAGTAGCCTGGGGAACATAAAGGACTACAGAGCCCTGGGGGAGGGGGTTAGGGGCTCTGGAGCTCAGATAGTCTTTTCGTCAATTCTCCAGGATACAGGGGAGGACCTAAAAAAAGCTAGGATTAGCCAGGTTAATAAATGGTTAAAAGGCTGGTGTCATAGTCAGGGGTTTGGGTGTCTTGAACATGGGACCCAAGTTTGTAGGCCAGGTCTAGTGGGGGCTGGTGGAGCTGCTCTGATAAAGAAGGGAAAGAGCAGTTTTGGTAGGAGGCTTGCCAGACTGGTCAAGGAGGCTTTAAACTAGATGTGCTGGGGGAGGGGAGCATCATTCCATCCCAACACACCCAGTCAGTTGCCAGCACCTATAATAAATGCTTGGAGCAATGTAGAGATATCCCAGCCTCTCCAGCCAATGAGCCGGCTTCAGTTGGAGCTCGGCTCAGATGCCTCTATACAAATGCCTGTAGCATGGGGAACAAACAAGAGGAATTAGAGATGTGTGCACGTCGACGGGGGTATGATATAATAGGCATAGCAGAAACATGGTGGGATGGCTCCTAGGACTGGAGTGTTGGAATGGAAGGTTACAGGCTTAGAAAAGACAGGCCTGGCAGGTGGGGAGGGGGAGTTGCCCTTTATGTTATTAGGGATAGGCTGGAGAGTATGGAACTCTGTCTGGGGACAGGTGAGCAGTCCACAGAGAGTTTGTGGGTCAGGGTTAAAGGGAAAATAGCTATGGGAGACATTACTGTGGGCATCTGTTACAGACTGCCCGATCAAGGAGAACCTGTGGATGAAGCACTCCATAGACAGACAGGAAAAGCCTCACGCTCACAGGCCCTTGTTCTCATGGGTGACTTCAACCACCCTGACATCTGTTGGAAGGACGGTACGGCCCGGCACAAGCAATCCAGGAGGTTCCTCGATTGTGTAGAAGACAACTTCCTTCTGAAAGTAATAGAGGAGCTGACAAGGAGAGGTGCCATGCTTGACCTCGTGCTCACCAACGGGGAAGGGCTGGTTGGGTAACAGGAAGGGATTTTACAGGTACATAGCAAATAAAAAACAGACTAGGGAGAACATAGGCCCCCTCAGGAAGCTCTCGGAAGAACTAGCTACACAGGATTTGGAGAAGGCTGAGGTTCTGAATGACTTCTTTGCCTCGGTCTTCACTGGAAAAGGCTCTGACCACACCACCCAAGTCTTGGAAGGCAGATGCAGGGACTGTGAAAATGAAGACCTTGCGCCCCTGTAGGAGAGGATCTGGTTTGAGACCATCTTAAAAATCTGAACATGCGCAAGTCCGTGGGTCCTGATGAAATCCATCCGCGGGTCCTGAAGGAGCTGGCAAATGAAGTTGCTAAGCCACTGGCCATCATATTTGAAAAATCATGGCAGTCAGGTGAAGTTCCCAACAACCGGAAAAAGGGAATATAACCCCCATTTTCAAGAAGGGGAAAATGGATGACCCGAGGAATTACAGACCAGTCAGTGTCACCTCTGTGCCTGGCAAAATCTTGGAGCAGATTCTCCTGGAAGGCATGCTAAGGCACATGAAAATCAACAAGGTGCTTGCTGACAGCCAGCATGGCTTCACTAAGGGGAAATCCTGCCTGACCAATTTGGTGGCCTTCTATGATGGGGCTACAGAACTGATGGACAGTGGTAGAGCTGTTGACGTCATCTGCCTGGACTTGTACAAAGCATTTGACACTGTGCCACATGACATCCTTGTCTCAAAATTGGAACGACATCAATTTGATGGATGCACCACTCGGTGGATAAGGAACTGGCTGGATAGCTGCACACAAAGATTTGTGGTCAATGGCTCAATGTCCAGCTGGAGACCAGTAACAAGTGGTGTCCCTCAGGGATCAGAGTTGGGACCGGTCTTGTTCAACAACAGACAGTGGGATTGAGTGTGCCCTCAGCAAGTTTGCCAATGACACCAAGCTGTCTGGTTTGGTTGATAATGCTGGAGGGAAGGAATGCCATCAAGAGGGACCTTGACATGCTTGTGAGGTGGGCTGATGCCAACCTCATGAAGTTTAACCATGACAAGTGCAAGGTCCTACACCTGGGTTGGAGCGATCCCAGACACAGCTACAGGCTGGGTAGAGAAGAGCTTCAGAGCAGCCCTGCAGAGAAGGACTTGGGGGTGTTGGTTGATGAGAAAATGAACATGAGCCAGCTTCAGTGTGCACCTGCAGCCCAGAAAGCCAACCGTATCCTGGGCTGCATCAAAAGGAGCGTGACCAGCAGGTCAAAGGAGGTGATCCTGCCCCTCTACTCTGCTCTTGTGAGACCTCACCTGGAGTATTGTGTGCGGCTCTGGTGTCCTCAACATAAAAAGGACATGGAACTGTTGGAACAAGTCCAGAGAAGGGCCATGAGGATGATCAGGGGACTGGAGCACCTCCCGTATGAAGACAGCCTGAGAAAATTGGGGCTGTTCAGCCTGGAGAAGGCTGCGTGGACACCTCACAGCAGCCTTCCAGTATCTGAAGGGGGGCTATAGGGATGCTGGGGAGGGACTGTAGTGACAGGACTGTAGTGACAGGACAAGGGGTAATGGGTTCAAAGTGGGGAAGTTTATACTGGATACAAGGAAGAAATTCTTTCCTGTTAGGGTGGTGAGGCGCTGGAATGGGTTGCCCAGGGAAGATGAATGCTCCATCCCTGGCAGTGTTCAAGGCCAGGTTGGGCAGAGCCTTGGGTGACATGGCTTAGTGTGAGGTGTCCCTGCCCATGGCAGGGGGGTTGGAACTTGATGATCTTAAGGTCCTTTCCAAACCTAAATATTCTACGATTCTAAAAAGAGGGATTCCGCATCAGTCTTACTCAAACTCCCCAATCATATTCACTAATAAATACCTGATATCCATGAATTCAGAGATACAGTCCATTCACCCATTAACTCAGTGATCAGAGAATGCAACTGCTTCCGTAACTAAATCAAACTCTTAATATTTTGTTCATTGGTGCTACTGGGAAACATCTTCAAAACCTTCTTATCACAGTAACTGGCTCTAGCATTCATCAGCCTAAATTTATGTATGATACCAAATGAGGGCAATGTCATTTGTCCTTGTGCTACCATCATCCTCCTGACACTTAGCCAACTTCTTCCTTATGTATTTATAAAGGCAGGTGCATTGCTGCAATTACCTATAGCAGAATGAAAGAGATGGCAATATTAAGGCCATCCTATGAAAGAGGAAAACCCGTCATCTGTAAATTTTATATAACCCGTATCTCCTCCAGATTACCACTAAGGATACTGCTTAGACCTATTTCAGAACAAGCTGACTCTAGTCCATTGTCTCCCCCACACCAAGCAGCTCCAAAGTAAAACCCTTCCTTTTTCCTTTACATTTTTCCCCATCACGCCCTACAAGGCCCAAACTCCAGCCCTCATTCCCAACAGCTTTTTCACCTTGGCCTTGCCAAGGCCCCCTCACAGGCTACGCGACAGCTTGTTGTGCGCGTTGGGCTTCCCAAGAACCCTTTGATGGGGCCAGCTCGGCAGCTACCACCACGCGGACACCAGCCCTGAGCCGACAAGAGAGCACCCCCTCACGCCTTACCGCCAAACCACCAACGGGTGCGACTACCCCGCCCCGCCAGCGCATGCGTGCTGAGTGGCGCCCACTGACTGGCTCTCCGCTTGGGACGGCCGTACGCATGCGCGCCACTGTCTGCGCATGCTCTGTGGGTGGTGGGTGGTTCCGGAGATGCTCTGTGTATGTGAGGGGTATGGCGGGCCGTGAGCTGCGGGATGAGGAGAGGGATGAGGGTGCACGGTTGCGTCGCAAGGAGGAGCTGAATCGAAAGGTGAGCCGGGACGGGTTGAGCCACGGCTAACATCGGCGCCTGTAGGCCGTGGCCCCTCGTCCTCCCCGCGGTGCTGTCGGTGTTAAGGCACGTCCAGGGCTGTGCTGCCGCGGGGGAGAGAGGAGGGAGCGGCGGTCCAGTGAAGCCTGTAACTTCAGGCGTGATCAGTGAAATGAGGGCGAGTGCTGTGAGGAATCTGGGGTCTTGTGGCACTGAGTTTTCATTGTAGGGCTCATTTGTTCTTGTCGGCGTCGCTGTTGGCTTTCTGGTGAGGTTTGGAGATTTTTTGTTTATTACCGCTCCAAGTAGAGCTTGAGATGTCAATGAGGCTTTTTTTTGCAGTTGTATCTACTCAAAAAGTGCCAAGGGTTTTCAGTTACAGAGGGTGGCACTCCTCATAAATCTGCTCTATTTCTCCCGTGATACCAATAGGTTTGTTTAGTATGAAATCTGTCAAGTCCTATGGAACTGCTTTGTTGTATAAAGTCAATGATAGTTTTGATTGCCTGGGAGGCTATAAAGCTACGGCATGTTGTCATTCCTGCTATGCTTAAGTGGCTGGTTTAGCCTGTAGCAAAAGATGACACTGTCTGTTGGCATTACAAGATACTGATATAGCTGCTGGAAAATTTGTCTTTTCTGTATGCCGTGGTCAGTTTGGCTAACCTAGCAACTTTCTGCGTTGCACCCTTTCCAGGAGACACGAAGAACAAATTAAAACATGTTGCTTGTTTATGGCGAAAAAGAAAGGCATTAAGTGCCCTCCAACAAGATCCTGTAATTTTTATGGCTTTCATGACAGTCCTCCTGATTGCTCTTTACCTTTCACAGCTGTTATTGTAAAAGAAAATGGGAATACCTGCCACCTCTGCCAGTGCAGTTGAACAGAGTGGTAAATCCTTCTAAGGGAAGTTCGTGCAAAACTCCAGAAGCAAGGGCTTCTGTTGCTATTAATAACATTTTAAGAGTTTTGACTGTTTGCTGGTTTCATTTTGAATCTGGAGGATACCTGTGATTATAGAGCGTATTGTAGATTTTATGCAAAATTTTGGGTTAAAATTATTTGATGTTTAATTAGTTGTTTGCATGTTTTCTTTACTTCTGGGGGGAAAATGTGATCTCTGATTATAAATAGCTAGAGGTACTCTGGCTTCTCAATAGTGATTGCTTTTGAGGGTAGGAGAAATATTAATCCCTGCAAGATAACCTGTTTCTACGCTTTTTGTATCTACTTCTACTTTGTCTTCAGTGGTCCATTTGGAGAACAGCAACTATATATGCATGTAGCCGTCTTAAAAGAAATCAGTAAGCGTGTTCACCAGCAGGATTATAATACAGTGATTTACTTTTAATAATTGAAGTGCATCTTTTGCCCTTCAGATTAAAGAGCAGAAGGTTGTAGTTGATGAGCTGTCAAATTTGAAGAAGAATCGGGTAAGTATTTACAAATTTGCTTCTGACTGTTTCATTTTAGCATCAGAGAAATAAATATAGAGACAAGAGGGGAAACAGAATTGGAGCACACTGTCTTTAATTTGTTTTAACACAGGTTTTAATGCAGATGTGGGCTGATGTTGTCAGAATAATTTGTCCTTCACTTGTACCATAACACAGTATGTTGTTGGATTTTTTGCCTCTCTTATCTGAGTTCTTTAATTAAGATGTTTGAGTTGATCAGAAGACTTCATGAAGTATTTTTACTTCTCATGTGCATGTGTTTTAAAATAGAATGGTAGCCCTCATGTATGAGAAAAAGCAAAATGCAGACAAGGCATGGGTTGTTCATGAAATGTTTTTGATGATATAACATTAGAACGCTGGTGTTCTCAGGGCAGAAATTGTCCTTCTGGAATAAAAATAAAGGGGTATATAAGTGGATCTGCATCAGTTTCTCTTGCAGGATGGTTGCCAGAGTTTCTTGCTCTGATCTATGCAGTGTTGGTTTTGTTTTACAGAAAGTTTATAAGCAGCAACCCAATAGCAACATATTCTTCCTCGTAGACCGAACAGAAACGCTATCTCAGTGCAAAAGTAAGTTTGCAGTCTAAACATTGTTCAAATAGTTAACTATTTAAAAGCTGTATTTATAGCTGTTAATGATTGCAAAAGTGTGTTAAAATGAAAAGGTGGCAACTGTGTATCAAATACAAAGTAGACTTAAGACAGGCTTGTTTTTCTGGATTGGATAAATGTGAAAGTGTTATGTAGGAAGAGGGAGAATGTCTGTCCCACAGAGGAGCTGCTATTGTCAGTGCCCTTTGGGAAGCTGTATACTGGCTTGTCCCTTAAATAAAAATAAAAAAGCCTAAAAATTGCATGGGATGAGTAGGAAGAAAATAACATTAGTTTAACTGGAGGTTAAGTTAGAAATCTTCAGGTATTTGAAAGAAAGGATCTGTGAAATTATGAAGATAGTAGATGGATGATAAAGAGAATTGATGGTTGAACAAATGTTAGAAATGTGTAACTTTAGATGTATGAATTTGTTTTCTGGAATGCACAATTTCTACTTTAATTTTCTTCCCCTGTCAACTCACTACTTTATGAAACTGATTATTCATGTATTTCTTACACAGATACATTAGATGAATTAAAGAAGGCACATCAGGAGATGGAAAATTCAGAAAAGACTAAAATCAAGAAATAGTTCATCTGAATTCAAAGCCATCATGTGTGGTATTTGTTGCGTTGTTACCTTGTGTAGACAGCATGCTATTCATGGTTTCTTTAACGAAGACATACTGTGCCATCTTAGAAGAAGAGGACCAGATAGTAGCCAGCAGTTGATAAAAACTCTGCCTGATCTCCCTTACGAGTGCCTGTTTTCTGGCCACGTACTTCACTTAAGAGGACTGGTGACTCCTCAGCCTCTGCAAAATGCCAATAGCAGTATTTTTCTTTGGAATGGAGAAATTTTTGATGGAGTGCATGTAGGAGATCTAGAGAATGATACTGAAGTTATGTTTCATCATCTTGCATTATGCAGTAGTGAAGAGGACATGTTATCACTATTTTCATCAGTTCGGGGCCCATGGTCTTTTATTTATTATCAAGCATCTAGACACACTTTATGGTTTGGTAGAGATTATTTTGGTCGCCGTAGTTTGCTTTGGCAATGCAGTAATGAGGTCAACAGTGCTTTCTGTCTTACATCTGTAAGTGCTTATTCTGAATCAGGTCACCAATGGCAAGAAGTCCCAGCATCTGGAATTTTCAAAATCGATCTCAAAGCTTGCACAGCAACTAAATCTTGGTCTTTAACATTGTTTCCATGGAAGTACAGCTGCACAGAGAAAGCAGTAGAAGAAATACTCATTAATGTTCTGGACCAAGTTTCAAAAGACTTACCAAACCACATGCGTGTTGTGATGAATGAATCAAAACTGTGTCTCAGAGCACCAGTTATCCCCTTAAATAAAACAATTTCTGAAGCTTCAGGTCAATGTCCAGGCACTAATGCTAGCAACATTACTCATACGGTTTCTGTAGAAACCCTTCAAGGATTTCTTGCAGAGGAGCACAAGAAAAAGTTAATTTGTCAGTTTATTGATGTTTTAAATGAAGCAGTAAAGAGACGGGTTTTATCTCTCGTTAGAGCTGAAGATCAGGAAACAAGAGAAGTTCCAAGCATGTCTAACAGAAAAGCACATATTGCAGTGCTCTTTTCTGGTGGCATTGATTCCATGGTTATTGCAGCCCTTGCTGATAAACATGTACCTTTGGAGGAACCAATAGATCTTCTCAATGTAGCTTTCATGCTGAAAGAACAAGCTAAGCAAAGGGGTACCTCTAAAAACCATACCAACGGGGAGGTACAGCTTGATCTGCCGTGTCCTCAAGAGAGTCGTCAAGACCTTGATGCTAAAACTTGTGCTTGTTTCTCTTGTTTTGATGTTCCTGACAGAATCACTGGTAGGGCAGGACTGAAAGAATTAGAGGCCATTAACCCTTCAAGAACCTGGAACTTTGTGGAGATCAATGTTACACCAGAAGAGCTGAAAAAAATGCGACAACAACGCATTAATCACTTAATTTATCCACTGAATACAGTCTTGGATGACAGCATTGGCTGTGCAATTTGGTTTGCTTCCAGAGGGGAGGGTTTTATTAGTAACCAAGGAGAGCTGAAACCATATAGAAGTCCTGCAAAGGTACTGATTTTTTTGTTGTTATTTTCTGCCTTGTGCTTGACCTGTGAATGTAAAACTAGTTCTGTTGTTTCAGAAATCAGCAAGGGTCTTTAATATTCATAAGGCTTCTGAAATTCAGTGGCATAATGTACAATAGTTCAATAATGACAATCTTTGTGTAATTCTGGAGTTAAAAACTACATTCAGTTATTTTATGATGTAATATGAATGGCTTTTAATTGAGCTTGAATAAGCAGCAGTGTGATTAGGAAAAAATAATAACCATCATCTGTCATCTTTGGTGTTTCAGCCCCAGTAGTGAGTAAGAGTTGTTCAGTCCAAATTGAGCAGCTTAACAAATTCAGTTATATGTTAATGAATTATTAAATAATTGTGTTTTGTGCCAGCATTCCAGCCCTTGTAAAATCATTACCTTCTTTAGGCATGCTATTTATGTGACAAAATAGCAAAGAGTAGTGGCAGAAAAGATGACTGTTTGGAAGTGTTTGTAATTAGTGTCTGATCGAATGGCAGAACTACAAAAAAGTAGCTCTTTCCCTTTTGTAACTTGTTTTCATGTGTTTAGTATTAAGTAAAATCTCTTTAGCTACTAAATGATTTTATTTGGAATTTGACTCCTGTTTCTCACCTCCTAATTTCCTGATGCTTGCATAGGGATGAAGAATAAAGTGATTAATTTCAGGAATTTGCAGTCCACTGCTGAGACTCCTGTTACTTTCCTACTAATTGCTAGATTCTAAAACCACAAAAAAACCCCAACCAACAGCAGTAAGTCCCCCAAGAAATGCAGTAGTTAGCTTAAAAACTGCTACAGAACACAGCTGATTTAGTTCACGGATCTACTTCAGGATGTGTTCATCTCAGGTTTGCAAAACATACAAATTCATCTTAGGTTCAGGATGTGTTGAAATAGGTCATGAGTTAATAAAACATGAAGTGAAGATGTCATTTTCCCCATCGGGTACCTACTGCTACGTACAGGTAAAAAAGCAGTTGACCACTGGCTGGTGTCAGATGAGTAAAACACACTTGACATTCACTGTTATAGTTAAGTGCTGTTGAAAGCATAGCAGTGGATCAGCTATAGTAGTGTTTTTTCCCTTCATAACATTTTATGTACTTGCTGAGTAGACAACGATTATAAGACATTTTTACATTGTGTGATGCAGTTACTAACCCAGTATTGTAAATTAGTAATCTGGGTGTAACTATTTAGAACATATGATATACTACATAATCTTCAGCACCATTTTTTTTATAAAGGCTGGTGTTTAGCAAATGCTCTTCATTGTAATAGAAACTAACGAAGACGTTCTTCAAAGATAACTGGTGAATTTGTGATGGATAGAACATTATTTTGTGGGTTTTTCCTTGTATCAGTAGAAATATGTTTGTGTACTTCTAGGCCTGATTGTAAACCTATTTCAAGTTCCAGTGACTTTGGAACTTTTTCAGGCTCTGTAAATGTGTAAGGCACATCCCATCAGGATAGGTGATATTTAGATGATGTATATTGAAGTGACTCTCCTTAAGATGCAGTTAAACATTTAAGATGTTACATATTATTTACTTGCATAGCTACTAAGAAATATTTATTTTATTCTGGTTACTTAGGTTGTGCTTACAGGCATTGGAGCAGATGAACAGCTTGCTGGCTATTCTCGACACCGTGTTTGCTTCAAAAAATATGGCTTCAAGGGTCTGAATGAAGAACTTGAAATGGAGTTAGATCGCATTTCTTCCAGAAATCTTGGTAGAGATGATAGAATTATTGGTGACCATGGAAAAGAAGCCAGGTATTACTGTTGTAACTTAAAGCAAAACTGGTTTTGCTGGTTAGATTCTGCTTTAACACTAGCAACAGAGAGCTTAATTGAAAATTCTCTACATTTTGTTGTCTCAAATTTTGTTGCAGTTTTGTTGATGTGTTGTGGGTGTTTGTTGTTTAGAAGAAGTGGTCTCTAGTACTATAGAAAAGTTACCTAAGGAAATGCAGCAATGTGGGTTTCCATCTAGAGCTTTTAAAAAGCACCAACACATGCTGAAATAGGCAAAATGAAGTTGATTATTTTAGCTGGAACAGTCTTTCTGCACACCTTTGAAGTGCCCTGAAATGGTCATCTGGGGACTCTGAGACTCTGGAGACTGACAACATAATGTGGAAGCCACATATTCCTGTCCATGTAGTAAAGGCATCATCAGTATCTATTGTATTTCCTGGTTGCTAAGTCAGAATAGTTAAAGCAGCATTTTTTTTGTGGTTACTTCCGTCATGTTACCACTTGCTACTTGAAAAAAATTCCTTAGGTGTAGTCCAGTAGCATAGGCCACTCAGTGCATGAAAGGTCTTTTTGCGTGATCTTTCTGCTGGTGTTTTGCCAAATCTGTTCTTGGTTGCATGTTTTCAGTTTAGAAAAACCAAACCCCTTGGAGTGGAGAACAGGCAGTGCTGTTAATCATGCATGTGGTTAGATCTGAATGCCTGGAATTCAGGATGTTGTCAGAATTTGTTGTGTAAATATTTTTGTGTCAAAGTTACAGTCTAGCTTCCTACAATATATGGTAATACTTAGAAATGACCTTGAAGTGTTACATTTATATTTGTCTTGCTCTGCCATTGTTTTTTCTGATTTTCTCCATAGTTTTCATTTTGTATAAACCCAGTATTTCTGATGCTTGTTTTTACTCTTTTCTTTGCTTCACTTTTGAAAACTTCCAGACTTCTGAATTTAAACATGATATATATTACGTTTGCTTTCTCCAAGACAGTGTAACTGTTTCAAAGATGTGCTTCATTACTGGGACACTAACATTAATGGTACATCTATAGTTAAGAATTGACACAGATTCTGAAGTCTCTGCATGTGGTAAAGGGGAAAAAAAACTGTTATACATGGGGAAAGACCTTTTAAATATGTCTGTCTTTCCTTCAGGTTTCCTTTTCTTGATGAAGATGTTGTTTCATTCCTCAGTTCTCTGCCCATCTGGGAAAAAGCTGACTTGACTTTACCTCGAGGAATTGGTGAGAAGTTGCTTCTTCGTCTTGCAGCCAAGGAGTTTGGCCTCACAGCCTCAACCATTTTGCCAAAAAGAGCTGTACAGTTTGGATCTCGGATTGCAAAGCTAGAAAGCAACAGTGAGAAAGCATCTGACACATGCAGCAGACTGAAGTAATTTTCAGTAGATGAACTATAAAGCTACATCTTGAGATGCTGCATTTATTCTGTATACAATTTCAGTAAATCTTTTGGAGGTTTCTTAAAATGTTTGGTCTATTTTTTTATGTACTAAGGCATTATTATTAAGCATCAAAGGAATGCACATAGATGTGAACTTGTACTAGAAACTTATTATGAACGCATTCATGGAGGGGAAGAGAGGATAGCCAGAGGCTGGCTTTCCCACCCTTCCTAACTTGATGTCAGTGGTGCAAAAATCATGGATCTGTCTGGGCTGTCATGTATACTGAATTCAGTAAAGGACGTCTTCTGTTGTATAACAGGGCTGGTCCTGCAGCTGTGCTTTAGGAGAGGGTTTAGGCTGTGATTTTAGAAGGGAATGTGCAGTAAGGAGCTGGCCTGAGATGCGAGAGCCAAAAAGAGCTGAGTGTCTTAAGCCTTGTTGCCTCTTAGGAGATCTGCGCTTAAGCATCATGCTTGGCCACACACCCCCTGGGTGCTTTGGGGCATCCTGTGCAGCTTTGCAGTCCTTGGCCAGTTCTGCAGGGCTGCCTTGGTTGGTGGTCCACAGCACAGGGCTCCCTCTGCTCCTGGAGAAACTGGGAAGTTCCCTCCAAACTGTTCTTTGTCCCTCCTTGGCTCCCTAGCTTGCTACCTCTTCTTTTAACTTTAGCTTGGCTACTTTTACTTCTGAAGTTGCAAAGCATCCATTGTGTACTTCAGTCAATATATGAATGGGCTTCCTCTGAAGAAAAGCATGAGTTAGCTTGTCTTCCTAAATGTGTATGGAAGGATTGCAAAGTTCACATAAGAAAGACTGGATATGAGCTGTCCAGTGTTTTTTGTAAGTTTGGAGTTTAGTACTCAACATGCTACCTTACAGTTCTAGTTTTTGTGTTTGTCCAATCAAATAGAGAAAAGAAAAATACCAGAAAAAAAAAAGGCTGGGATCATTACTTGTAAAACATACAGATCATTGGATCTCATGCAAAATTGTAAGATGACAGGAAATGCCGTAGATGAACACATTTCCAAAAGAGCTCATTTTCCACTGTGGTATTGAAGTGATGGGTCAGATTTTTCAAAAGTCCACTGTACTTGTAAGCTCCCTCTAAAGATAACAAGAGCTGCATTATTTTAGCCAACCTCTTCCTTCAGCAAAGAAGGAACCCAACCCCATTTCTTTTTTCTTATGTTTTATGCCTATAATAAAGACCAAATGGAGGCCTCTCTTAGCACTACATTATTGATTCATATTAGATCTGATTCCATTACAGTTGTACAAATCTATCTCATTGAGTAGATTTTTCAGACAACTGTGTGATCTGTTTCCTTTGACGTAATGAGATAGGCCAGGAAATTGGTATGACAGCATTTCTAAATCCTTGATACAAGACATCTCCACTTCAATATTTAAAGAAGTCTTTGACATAATTACTTGGGGCATTGTTCCCATGTATGCATTTTGGAACAGCTTTAAGTATTTTAATTAAATAATTTTTGCTGTGTAAACTCTTAGTTGAAATACATGTAACAGTGATCCATTAACTGTATTTACAGTATCACACAAGAAAGTGTGGTGTTAGAATCAAGCTCTCTGGTTCTAACAATAGTAGTTTTGGTAGGCTTGAGACACACTGGAATCACTCCATCTCCAGAAGGCTGTGCCCTTCATGGGAAATCTGAATTGCATTTTATCTGTATTTATTGTCTCACAAAACAGCTTTCTAGGGGTTTCTTCCTCCTCATTGTTCAGAAAATTTGGAATCAGTGAGACTTCTGATCAGTGAGCCACATGTATAAACATACTGATGGACAGGGCCTATGAAATGTGGCAGTGTTCAAGGCCAGGTTGAACAGAGTCTTGGGTGACATGGTTTAGTGTGTGGTCTCCCTGCCCATGGCAGGGGATTGGAACTAGATCTTAAGGTCCTTTCCAACTCTTAACTATTCTATGAGTATGATTAAATGATATATTGCTGTGCCAAGAAGATAAACTACTTAACACTACAGCTAAAATACCAAAAGGTAAATTACTTGTAGTTGAATCCTATGAAAACACCACTCCAGAAATGCTACATAACAAAATGTAGATACTACATACACTTCCAATGCTTTTTTCTCCCAGAAATTAAGTACTGGAGAAAAAATAATGCATGTTCTTGATTTGTTACATCTTGCCCTAAAATAATAAAAAAAATAAAAATACAAAAAATCAGGTAAGTCTGGCTGTTCATAACTGTCCCACAAATCCCAGTTACTTGTTTGTATTTAAATGAAGGCAGTTTTCAACAAATGCATTATCAATTAGGAAACTCTTAATGAAGAGGTACTTAAAGTATTTATTCCAGTAAATACCACTGCCATGAATAAATCTTATGATTATCAAAAGGCAAGGTCAAATAACATTCACATCAGAACTGAGAAATTGCATCTTAACAGCTGACCTACACTGTGATCAGCTTTACTGAGCAATTTATAAAAAAAGGCACAGATCCCATACCCCAAAATGATTATTCTGTATAAACAAAAATAGGCTTTTGACATGACCAACAGAAAATGAGGTACTGCTGAAATTCAGTTGTACTGGCACAGCTAATACACACTGAGATCTTGAAAATGTGTGCTCTCTCACATAGACTTTCTGTAACTTTTCAGTTGTAGAAGGTACGATTTTTTAATATGTAGTGTAAATTACAAACCTTACATAAACTATTATATTGTTAAATTACAAACCTCACATGAATTATATATTACATTGTTAAATTAGAATATAGTAGGTATTATAAATATATAAAGCTTATTAGTAAGTTACAAAGTGTAAACAATGGAGATTTTTTCATTTGTGTAAGTTTATATTTATTAGAAAGTACACTTAATTTTTAGTTGTGTTAATCCCTAGAACTCTTAGACATCTATGGAACAGTAACTGGAATCACTTTGGTGATACCACACAGCATTTATTTCTCTGGTAGGTGATTTTCAACACTTGTAAACCAAGTGCCGTCAGTAAATGTAACATCATTGAAAAAGTTTTTAGTGAGAAATTTATAGTTGCATTTACTTTACCAAGCTACTTTTTAAGATGCCAACTGTAGTATCGTTTTTAGTCTTGGCACCTTGATGGAATCTTCTGCAACTCTTTTTGAAATATCAATTCCAAGGGGAGCTCTGGAAAACAGTAGAATTACTTGCTAAAAATAACATTATTGCTGCATCCCACAGATGTGCACAGTCACAGACTTTTATACAATGAGCATGGGAATCACAGTATTTTTGCAGATTGCCTGCACTGTAAGACTGTGTGACCATTAACATGGTCAATCTGAAGCTGCACCTAGAAACACCTTTACATTAAGGACACGTTTGCATCTGTAGTCATTCCAGACTCAGGAGAAGAGACAATTGTGATTTCAAAGCTGGTTTTGGGGGATGATATTTTTGGACTCTGATTTTAGTTGATAATTCAGTTTGCATCTCACTGTTGAATGCAAGATACACTAGACATTCAGAAGTGTCTTCTATTATAATCTTAAACAATGTATATAGCAAATAAAACTTAGTATTTTATTCTCTGAGATAGATAAAATGAGTTATTTTTCAGGAAGAGTATTTTATCAATTTTTCATTTGAAAACTATAAAACAAGGGATTTTTTTATTTTTTTTTTTTAAACAGATCCGAGGCTGCTTTCCTGGAAATGAAAGGAGGAAAAAAAAAGTCAAATTTAAGGCCAGCCGGTACTTTGAAATACTAGTGTTTTGTTTGGCCTTAAGCCTAGATCTACTTCAATCCATAGAACAAGCCTTAACTAACAAGTTATCAAAATAATTAGTAAAAAAAAAAAAAAAAAGTATGATCAGATGCTATGTTAATTTTTTTTTTTAATTGATTCCTCATTATAAATACAGAGTTTGACTTGGAGCATGTTGATTTATGTCTACAGTGACTGAAAAGCTTAACTTGCTCCAGTTTTCCCAGCCCACAATAGTAATGGGAAGAGAACATGGAACTGATACAATGGTAACTGACATTTCTGAGCCAAAACACACAAATGCCAGGCACCATCATTTGCATTTCATACATTGAAAAGGGAGTGATGGTAACTTTTAAAGCTTACCTGCACTGCAAAGACACTCCTCATCAACCTCTGCTACTCTTTCTAGTCTGCACCTCCTTCCACTTTAATTGGCCATAGTAAGCGAAGAAACAGACTGTTGAACAAATTGAGTCACTTACTTTGGTTCATAGCGGATGCCTTCAGTACTGTGTAAAACACCGAGTCCTGCACGTAACCTTTCAATGCCATTCCTAAGCAAGAAAACAATTATCTAAAAATGCGATGTCATAAATATGCATACATTGTTCAGTCACCATGAACATAAGTTCTTGCCTCTGTCAGCTTTTAAAGAGCATTAAAGAAATACATGTAAAGAGAAACAACTCTTACCATGCAATCATAACACCATTATCAGTGCACAGCCTTGGAGGAGGACACAGAAAAGCAAAACCATTTATATCTGCCAAAGTCCGCAGACCTTTTCGGATATACTCGTTACTTGCAACTCCTCCTGATATAACCTGAGAGCAGTTGCAAAAAGAAAGAAGTCATTAACTCAAAAGTACTGATTGGTCACTCTCAACATCCTATTTAAAAGAAAGGTTATCAGATGAAGTTCTGAAGGCAGCAATGAATAACGTGTTTGAAGATTAAAACATATCTTTGGAAATGAAAACATATCAGAAAAGGGTATGATAACTGAGCTTTACTATACTAATAGAATCATAGAATAGTCAGGGTTGGAAAGGACCTTAACATCATCTAGTTCCAACCCCCCCTGCCTTGGGCAGGGACACCTCACACTAGACCACATCACCCAAGGCTCTGTCCAACCTGGCCTTGAACACTGCCAGGTATGGAGCATTTATCACTTCTTTGGGCAACCTGTGCCAGTGCCTCACCACCCTCACAGTAAAGAACTTCCTCCTTATATCTAACTTGAACTTTCCCCTGTCTAAGTTTGAAGCCATTACGTCTTGTCCTATCACTACAATAATATGAATAAAATGAATAAAAGAATAAACCCATAACTAGAACAGCTATCAAGTACTGGAGAGGACTAGGTCAAATTACATAGCCTAAATTATTATGAAAGGTCAAATTAGAGATGTCTTTTACCATCTATCTCAAAACCAAACCATGAAACACTTTATTGTGAATATTTATATGACTATTACTTTAACCCTGGTATTTTGTCAATACATACTGACACCTTCCTCACTTGTCAAGGGAGAAACTACAGCAAGGCATGTCCATCTTCAAATGATGTTATAGAGCCAAATATAAAAAGGGGGAAAAAACATGTATACCCACCAAAGTTGCATTTTTTGATGACAATATGCTATTTTTCATGCAGAACAGCATGGCTCGGTACGTCCGCTGCATAATATGCACAGCCACTGTGTGCTGCACAGCAGCAGCAATATCCTTAACACAGGAAAGGATCTCACCTTCTTGAATACCTATGGAAATGCATGATCAAATGGGTTTTCCTGAGTATGCATCACCAAAAACATAGTTTACATCTGACTTTGTTTAAAAATACCTTCTTCTTTTTCTTTTTGTGTAATGGTGTTATTGACAATGTTCTGAAGTCCAGAGAAAGAAAAGTCACAGTTACGATACTGTTGCATGGGAAGTCTTAACATGATCTGCTGCCGGTTTCCAGTCTGAGCCAAGTGCTCTATTGCCTTCCCCCCAGCCATGCTGTGGCACTCAGGGTGCTTTCTTAAGGATAGTCTTCTAGCTACCTAGGGAGATAATAACAGACTTGGAACAGAGCACTACATCAACTCCTCCTGTAACTGCATTCACTGCATTGTAGTCTGTGGAGTAAAATTCAAAACCACAAAACCCAATCAACATGCAATTACAAACCAAGTGCGATAAGGATGAGGCATACACCAGCTGGATTTTAAATTAGAAATGCAATTTTAGAACAATTTGGGCAGACATGAGGTCAACAACCTTTGCAGGAAACATTAATTACCTAATTTTTATGCTATAGAAAACACACCCAGACTGTCATATTGTGTTACCAGATAAACAGGAACAAAGCTGGTTTCAACCTTCAACAACCCCCTCTCTGATCTACTCTCTTTTTCAATACAGACAACTACTGTTTAACAACTCTGCTTCTGTTGGGTCACTTGCAGTTTTGTTCTCAGTTTTACAGATCGTACCCAAGACCCAGTAACCTTTGATTCTGAAAGCCAAAACAGGCTTTTCAAACTGTACAAGAAACCCGGTAAGAATTGTTTAATATGTATTGCTTTCCACCTGACAGCATCCTTTAAAACACCCCTATCCATCTTCTCAAATTCATAATAATCCTTTGTATAATGAGTGTCCATGAAGCTTCCAATACCAGTTTTGGTGATGTTGTCTATTTGCTAAAAATCAATTTGCATATGTTACAACTGATGTTGTATGTAGATTTTTAAGAGCTTGTTGTGTATTAAATGTATGGCATTTCAAAATAGGAAAAAAAAACAAAACAAAAAAGGGTTAAGTAAACCTTATACTGCACTGTATTCCTCTGCATGCACTGATGAAAGTATTACTATATTCTAGTGTAAAGGCAATAAAAAAAAGCTAGATTTGCTTACGTAAAGAAGTACTACCTTATCCAGCATGTCCCCTGGTGCTATATCTATGGACTGTCCAAGCAGAAGGAAATCTGAAACTCCCTGTGCTACTGCCAAGAGACAGTGGCCTCCGGAGAGCAAAAGCACCAGGAAGGGAAACTCCAGGTGACAGGTCAGCCTGACGGTCAGGGCGTGAGCCTCCATGTGATGGATGGGTATGAATGGCTTCTGGTACTTGTTCACTAAGTCCAGGCTGTACTGCAGCCCCACACCAAGGCTCAGTGCAAGTCCTGGCTTGACTGTGGTGGCGACAGCGGTGAGGTCAGGTATGGAAACGCCACTGGTACCAAGCGCCTCTTTTACCACTCGCTCAATGTTTTCTCTGTGAAGCTGCTGTGCTACCACAGGAATTATTCCACCTGTTCTGGTAAAAACAAAGAACTACCATATATTTGTATTTTTTAACAGACAGGATGGCAAAAAAACAGATTTCAAACACCTCTAAACCTTGACAAACCTTGCCTGTCTCCTCAGTACATTCTCAACTGCCTTGTTTAGTATCAAGGGCATCTCTGCACTGAAGAGAGCGTAGTTATCTCTGGGAGATCAAAAAGTCTGTAACTTGCCCTTTTGGGGCACACATAAATCTTAAGCGGATCTCAATACTGTTCCAAAACAATGTCTGCTCAATATTCACAACCCCTCACTTGTCAGTCCAAGTACTTAGCCACCAATGCCTACATTGGATACATTTTCCCTTTAGAAAATTGAGACATTTGGAGGTTTTACCAGTAATAATGATTTCGCCTTTGATTCAAGCTATATCAGTCTCTTTTTGAAAGAAAATACTGGAGCAAACTTGAAAATGCACTGCTTTTCTTTCCTTACCCACAGCAGTATCTCTGCCAGGATGTGTTTTGGCCCAAGGTAGTCTTTACACCTACTCATTTACTGGGTTATCTGGGGAAGACTTTTATACGGAAGATACTACAAGGAAGAATGACAACAAAATCATTAGTAAGGTGAAAGCCCCAAGAGAAGTATGCTCTTACTGTAAATGGACTTCCTTCTGGCAGTGCAGCGCCTCCCCCAGAACGCAGCCGGCATCGTCCACCACGGCAGCGCCGGTGTCATCGCAGCTCGTCTCGATTCCCAGAACCAGCTTCCGAGGATGCCGTTTTCCAGAGGGATCAGATCTGCTTCTCAACCACGCGGCTCGGCTGTGTTTAGCTGACTTCAGAAGGCTTTTGGCAATGCTGTTCATTGGTGGTGGTTATGTCTAAAAGAGAACTGAATAGTTTATTATCGCTGGAGGGTTTTCAAGCATGTGCTCTATTTTCCTGAAGAGGTGGTACTGCTTTTCACGTCGTGAATGATCGTACATGATATTTAAGACCCCACAAAAAGTTATGCGCTACCGTCTTTATCTCAACCATGCTTCAGGAGGAGCTCTTCGCCCACATCTCCAGTGCACGGTGCTTCTGCAGCCCTGAGGCAGGGCACCAACCACAGCGTTAACCCCAGCCCCGCGGTCCTCGATACCCAGCTCTCTGCAGCTTTACCTCCAACGCCCCTCTTTCCTGCCCCACCTTCAAGCGCTCATTTCCACCCGCAGCGGGCCGACGGCACAGGTAGCGGGTACAGGCGGAAAGTGCGACCCTGCTCGGCCCGCCGTTCCGCCAGGGCAACGCAGACCTCCCGCTCCACCGCGCACCCACGCCGTACCCTTGTATCGCGATAAATCTCCACCTCGTGCCCTCCCCTCTTCCCAGCGGCACGTTTCCGGTGCACCGGCGGGTCACGGGGCGGTGCCCGTGGCGCTGCCACCTCCCCGCGGGGCCGGCCGTGTCAGCTCCGTAGGTCGAGAGCCTCCTACAGCCGCCAAACAGCAAGGCCGCGCCCCATAGCAGGGGCCCCGGAGCCGCTCAACGCCCGTCATCACCGCCCAGTGGCGGCAAACCTCCGTCAGTGCTTCAGAGCCCCGGCACTGGCACACTGAACAGGGACTGTGAAAGGGCTGGCACTGCCTCTCCAGGGTCAGTATGCACGAATTAGACAAGTAACACTGTACATACAAACACCACACAGAATTACTTCCAACTCATCACCTTTTTTTTTAACAGCATCTTTATCAAGAAAGTAAACAGCCAGCAAATTATCCTTGCAAGAACAGAAGTATGCCACTGTGGGCTTTATTTTTAACTTTTTTCCAGCTCACTGGCTGTCACTGCAACCCAAATGCAAATGAAGTCTTAAACAGAGCCCTCTGTCAAACCTGAGCTGGTTTTGATTGGCAGATCTCAATATTCATCCTTTTCCAAGACAGAGAAATTAAATGCTCAGCGCTCTACAAGTACCTCCTTTCACTCTTAATTCCAGAGTTGATTAAACACAAGATTACTCCATACCCTAACAACACAGCATCCCCCACATTTCCAAGACATGCAAATCATCTATAACTTTTTCTGCAAAATCATACAGTTAGTCCATGTGATTTGCCTATTCACCTACTTCTAGTTTGGCTTCTATTCTAACTCAGGACCTACACAGAGTTTGTCTTCTGTGTTCCAACTTGGTTGCTCTATAATGGAGCAGCCTCTCCTCCACCAGCAGCAGCAACCCCTTCCCCCACCATCACACATCTCTCAGCTACTGAAAAATAACCAGTCAGAAAACAGTCAAAAATTCACACCATGAAAGAAATTTCAGAGTCTCAGAATGTGCCACTTAAGTCAGTACCCTGGCAAGCAAATGAGATCAACGCAACAGTGGCAGCTTCTAAAAGCATACAGAAACTGAGCTATTGAGTTGATGTAGAAGTCCCCTGAGCTGACATTTAAGGACTTTTTTTGGTCACTGTGACAAAAGAATAATCACAAGAACAGGTAAGGCATGACTGATCCCATCAGCTTATGCTGGCTGTCACAGTACGTACTGCAAGACAAACCTTTACAATGCAGGAACAAGTACAACCACCTACAATCCACACAGCAGAAACAAGGTACTCTCACTCAACCTAAGACTACAGCCTCACCAGTTCGTGTGTGGAGAATCCTGGATTTACATATAAAGTTACCATTTGCATTATGGTTGACTGGGTGTTTGCAAAACACTGCTCTCTACTTCCAGCTGATACTAGCTGTTACTTCCTTACAGGTCACTTGCATCATACAGGCATACATACAGTCTCTGGGATTTCACTTTAGAGCTGGGCCTGCCCAGCTCTTCATGGAAATCTTTCTTCTAAACGTTTCCAATTCACGTGTAGGTGTTTGAAGGCATCTTCTTGCAAACTCAACTTTCATCCCAGACAAAGCTGCAGGACGTAGGAATTGTATCTCAGCTGTAAAAGCATCTTTCATTGAATACAATTAGACACTAGGCACAGCAGACTACTCGACTCCTTCCCCTGGGGAGCAGCAGCAGCCGTGTCAGGGGCAGTCAGTGTCAAACCTTCTGCTTAGTATTTATTGATGCCAAAGATTCGAACACCATGCAACTGTGGCAGCTTGGGGATGAGCACGGTCAGGAGGGAGGTCGTGTTGAGAATAAAGTGTGTTGAATCATACTTTGTGTAGAAACTCGCCAGGAAGTACCTGTGGTAGAAAGGGGAGCAAACTTAGCTGATGACACCCTTGTCTGAAAAAACAAACAAAGTTAAGTAGAAGAAAGTGCTTTAGTAATCAGTACTAATTTACTGGTTAATTGCCTTTCTATTTCTATACTCAGTATCTCACCTGGGGCTCTAGAATATCTACAGCACAATTATGGACCTCTTCTTCCCACCCTTCTCACAGCAGTGAAAAGCAACTCCCAGGCAGTGTCTTCCTCCAGCACTTCCTCCCACCCCTCAAGCTGGAATCTGACTTCTGCAGCTACAAGCCTCATTTACGATATGGGTTTTAAGCACTTACACCAAAATCATTGCAGTTCTGCTACCCTAGCAAGCTGAGCGAGGAAACATTTGACATTTTTCAGTGCAAAAATCTCCTATGCTGAGCACATCTGCGATAGGTATGACTTTAAAATGATTCTGATCTGGCGGATGTTTCCAGAACTATTTTTAAGCTAGTCCACAACCTGTTCAACTGCAAGAATAAGAAAATGTGCCTCAGAAAATCAAATTCACTACCAACCTCTTTACACTTTGAGCTAATAATTCCATCTCACTTTTTGCAAAAACTAGTCACAGAAATAAGGCTACCACATTGTTTTGGTTTTGTTTTTTCCCCAGCAAAATGGAGACATTGATTCAGCTACTTATGCATTATTAGTGCACGAAGAGAACCACACACAAGTATTACAAATACAAAACCAACTTCCTAAACATGATGCAGGATCTTCCCCCTGCCTCCCCGCCATGCAAGTGGACAACTTCCTTCAGGGAAAAACAGAAAGACTTTTTAAAGTTGGATATTAAATAGGTGGTGTTACACACTGTGCCTTTGTCAACAGAGACAGGCAGGGTAGGATTTCTCATCTATTTACACAACTAATTCAAATAGAAGGCAATCTGTACAAAGCAGAACTGACATGCAAAATCCTGGACCCCATTCAGTGAAGGCTGCCACACTCCTTAGCACTCACAAGTCACTAAAGTGCTAATAAATGCTGTCATGTGCCAAAGGAGTGAACTGGAGTGTCAAAAGCTGCAGGAAGAAAGATTGTTGATAACCTGTAAACATGTGCTCCCTACCCCTGTGATGTAGAAACACACAAACAAGTGAGGAAAAAAAAAAAATGCTTTTACAATGTAAACTGCAACCCATTTGCAGCTTTTCAAATCATATTTTTATAATTCAGTTAATCCAGAATACAGTTTTGAACTCACAGAATTATAGGAGAGATTGTGAAGAATTTTCTTGAAGATGTAAATTGTACTCCATAATCCAGTTGTTCCCAGTGTGTTAGTAGCCTAGCTTTCCCCTGATCCGGTGTTTCGAAAGGAGTTCCCTTTACTGCATGCAAAAACACATACATTCCCTGGGGAAAATGAAAAGGGAACACAGTGGCACTTTTAGATTTTTTTTTTTTAGTAATTTCTACATTGTTCAATGCATTGTAAAAACGGAGAGGAAAAGCATTCTCAGCCTGGTCTCAGCATTCTCAAAGCTGCTGGTTTGTAATGACAAATTATCACAGAGGAGGGAAGAGAGAAGATGCGATTTGCCCCAGATTGTGCAGTCAGTGGCACAGTCAGAATTAAAGTCTGTGTGACATTCAATCCACTGCCTTGTCTTCGACATGAGATGACAAAAAAAATTGCATGAAATGAAGACAATTTTAACCAGTACTGCCACAAGCTCAGGGCTGCTGCGGTGTATTACCACTTACCTAACATAGTGTTAAGTCAGTTAGGAGGTAGAGTCTGCACAAAGCAAAATCTAGCTACAAATAATGTCAACATTACAAGAACTTTAAAGCTTTCTTAGCCCCACACCAGCTTCAAACACTTGTAAGCTGACTACCAGCAAGCTGTTGAGTATCACCTGTCCATCTCTTTGCTGTTTCTTCTTTACCACATTGGACTTCACTTATGATTGTTTCTATCTGATGGGAACACACCATGCGTGCCCTGTTCCAAGAGATCAGTGTGGGCCTACTGATTTCAAACAGGGGAGTCTATCCGCTTCCAGATTTAACAAACATTTGTTTTCTATCAAACTGAGCACATCAACTCCAAGCAAGAGTCTCTATCAGAAAATATCAAAGACTTCCTTTTCTTTCTTTCAGGTCCTTTCTTATGCACATACAGAAATGAATATTATAGAAAGCTTTATATAGAAAAAATTTCTTTTGAATTCTTATAAATGAAGTGAAATCTGAGCAAGTCACTTGAAATCATTTTCCCTTTTTCTTTTTTGGACCCCCCCTGACTGTTAATCTAAGCAAATTCATTAATTTGCTTAATGATGTTTGTAGCGTCTCATTTTTAATACCTAAACCAAGAAGGCACTTTTAGAACAGATCTATATTCTTACTTCGTATTTTATTTTGCACTGGTAGTTGCAGAAAGGAGCACCAGAAATGCTTTCAACATCAGCTAAGAGTTTTCCAGTAGTGGAAACCCAAGATTTTGTTGTTTGTCAAACCATTCAAAGATTTGTTTCCCAAAAAGTACCATTTAAATGCTGAAATATGCAAAAGTCCAGTTTATACTTATCTTCTAGGGTTCCACTAGTACTTGCCAGTGCATGCTCTCATCCCTGTTGTCATTATAGCTACTTGCTATAATGAATTCGGTAAGGCATTTGGGAAATATTTAGTAATATTCATCTCTGCCAAGCATCATCTTCCCAAGACAGGCATGTCTGATGCTGACAATGATACCGTACACAATGCTCTACTGATGCTTACAATTAGTTTTAAACCTATCTACAAAAATAAAAAGCTTGAATAAAAATCACTTTATTTTTCACAGGATTCAAGAGGATATTATTCCACCTCAGCCTTTAAAGTGAATGATCATCTTCCTAAATACAGAAGAAGCTATCATTTTGTTATGGCTTCTTTGCTGTTAATCTCAGAAAGCTGTATTAGCATAAAATGCTGGATTATGGCCCTCTTTTCATACATCACTTGTCCTCCCCAAACCAGCCAGCTCATTTGTGGATAAGACAAGCAGAGATGGGATTTCATTATCCATACAACTTGGCTATTTTTCTCTTCTCCTGCCACTAAAAATAAGCATGCACGAACAACTTCTCAAACTCTGTTACAAGAGAGGGTACTTACCAGGTTGTGAATCACATTTGTTAAAGTCCAGGCGACAGGCACACTAAAGAAAGGAATGCTGAGCAAGACAATGTGCAGCAGGCCAACTCCGAGCGCATACGTCAGCCACATTCCACGACTGTTCATCACCCGTGTGTTTGGATTTACCTCGCTGTGGGCAACGCCTACGTTCATTTTTACCCTATAGAACAAATCTGTCTGAAGAGTGAGACTACTGTTATAGACAGTACTTAACATGTACAGGTTTCAGATTGGATAATGGATGTTTTAAATCAGCAGGTCTGGCAGCAAAACAGTGCATAAGCCAAGATATACCTCAAGATCTTCAAAGTATGGTTTATAGAGAAGTCATAACAAAAAGGGCTGTTAGGAACCATTTGTTTTTAAAATGCCCAAACAAATAAACCCCACAGTCTTGCAACAGAAGGGACATTTCAAAAAGAATAGCAAGCTGTGCTCTTGTTACCTAAAGTTGCAAACCTGTATGAAATCCAGCTTTGTAACTCTTGCCCTCTAAATTATTTTCTCCATCCACAATATCTGCAGTTCTTACCCTCCTCTCATATCAATTTTCCTCCTCTTTCCTGCTCATGTAATGGCTAGTGAAGAATTCTGTGTATATCAACTGCCCTGCTACCTGCCCTACTGCTATAAAGAACAAGAACTGATTGATGCTTTTCTTGCAGCAGAGTGCAGATTTCAGATTTCCTCCTCTCCCCACCTGATAGTTTTCAGACAGGCATTTCCATCTTTCAAATCTGGATGAAATTAGCCAATGGGTTTTCTAAGTGACAGCCATACACAGAGATATCAAGAACAATTTCATAACACTGATCTCACCAGGAGATAGACAACTTACAGTGAATAACATTGTATTAGAATCTGTACTGATAATTATAAAAAATAATTCCGTATTTCATACTCACATGATCTGTGAGACTATTTATATTGTTATGGGCCTGGGATGGAGACTTTTTACTTCCTTCTAAATCAATCTACAAAGCACTGGTTAACCAACAAAAATAGCCTGCTTTTGGTATGAAGTTTGTTTCTTACGCTGGCTCAGTGCCACGAGATGCTGGTATTACAGCAGTATTTTGCAATATTAACAGTGGACTATAAAAATAGATGCGATGAACCTGAAACTGAACCGTGACAGTGCTGACTTTAATCAATACTTATCGCAAAGTCTTTCAAGCCGTGCACTCACAGGGAACACATTACCTGAGACGTGTGAAGTGAGGTTGTTCCTCCCTCCCTAGGATACAGCACCGCCGCTGAGCAAGTACCTGCACACACACTTTCACGTTACCTTCCACCTTGCCCTATCTTTCCTATTTTCTAATTTAACCAGACGGACCCGCCCCCTCACCCAGCCCGCCAGACCCGTGCTTTCCCTCACAGCGGCACGGAAAAAGCAGGACCCCTCGCCTCCCCGCACAGACGGCTCCCTTCCGGCCACGCACCATGCGGACTCCCCGCAACCCATCCTCCGGCCGCCCCAGCCCACCGGGCCCCGATGCGCGCCTCAGGGCTGGGCCCGGCTGCAGCTGCCGACCACCCCGGGGCCTGCTCGTAAGCACAAGCAGCGAACCGGCCCATCTTCCCGCCCTTCGCCTCCCGAGCGCAGCCCCACCTTTCCGGGCACCCACGGGCCGCGCTGAGACCGCGGCCGCCGAGAAGCAGAGGGAGAACGCTAGCCGCGGGCCGCAGGTAGAACCGGCCGGCCGCCCCGTGGGCGGTGCTGCCGCGGAGGGGAGGGGCCCGGCTAACTGCCCGTACCGCCCACCGCGCGGCGGCGGCGGCAGTGGTTAGCCGGGAGTGGGGTGGCGCGGTGGCGGAGGAAGCGCGGCCGCGGAGCCTGCTGGGGGGCGGGCGCCTGGGAAAGGCCGAAGGGTGCGGAGCTGCTGCCTCCCCTTGGGTCCTGGCCGGGCGACGACGCTTTTTGCCTCTGGCAGCTGGCTTCACCTTGGCGGGAACTGCTGCTGCCCAGGGACGGGCTAGGGCCTAGGGTGAGGCCTGGGCCTGGCTGGGCGCGGCGTCCCGCTCCCCTCTCCGTGCGGGACCAGGCCCCGTGAGGACCGAAGTCAGCAAGCCGGGCCCTCCCCTCAACTCCCCTCATCTCGTCGCCGTGTGGTGACGCGAGCTTAGTCCCCCGTGCTTTTTGTAATGAAAAGCGGAACCGGGAGCTGGGGACTGTTGGTGCGGTTTTAGGTAAACTCGTGTGACCGCCGCGGGTTTTATCTGCAGCTTTTGTCCCTTTCGTTTCCACCGAACCGGTGGACTCCTGAGGAAGGTGGCTGTGGGAGGGGGGTTGGGGTCCTGCCCTACAAATCTGTGAGGCTGCGACTGTGAAGTTTATGGAGGTTTTGTCTGCAGTTTATCTGCTGTTGTGTAGTATTACAGCTGTCTAGAGAGCCCCTGTTGCAGGAGTGTCTGACTTTGCTTAGAGGGGTAAATGAACTGCATTCAGTGATGATGCTCAAGGACAGAAACCACTGTCTTCCCACTGAGCACAGATTATAGTATGCCTGCCTAGTGAACAGTTACAATAGTAACATGGCTTGAGCTGAAATATGTATGTTTAATATTAGATATAAGGCAGAAGTTCTTCCCTGTGAGGGTGCTGAGGTGTTGGCATAGGGTGCCCAGAGAAACTGTGGCTGCCTCATCCCTGGCAGTGTTCAAGGCCAGGCTGGACAGGGCTTGGAGCAACCTGCTCTAGTGAAAGGTGTCGCTTTGGAACTGGATGAGCTTTAAGGCCCCTTCCAACTCAAACCATTCTATGTTCTTTTAGCTGAAAGTAATCAAGGATTGGATGTATTTGCAGAGGTAGCAAGTACCAGCAGGTGCCCCCGAGATGTGGCCAGCATGGCTTTATGTCCTCCCATCCAGTGAGCAGTTGGCACAGGGCCCTGCACGGGGTGTTTTGGGTCCAGGGGAGGGGAGGGTAGTCCTGGGACTGGTTTCTTTCCCAAACCATCTGCATCAGTAACACCTCATGGACAGTTTGTCTTTGGGATCTGTAATGTTTCCATTTTAAGACCCTCCCTTTTCTTAATGTCTTTTGGTAAAGATATCCAGCTCCGATCTGGTACTTGTCATTGCTAAATCATGAAGCACTTGACACAGGAGCCCTGTATAATGTGTGACTGTGTGGGGAAACCTGCCTCACTGAATGTGTGTACATGATTAATATTGGTCTGTCTTCAACAGCCCTATTCTGTGCTCCTTTTCCTGTTTGTTTGCTGGAACACATGATTTGTCACATGTTTTTACCACATATGAAAGGCAAACTCCCTTTGGAATATAAATAAGAAGTATAAAGAGAAAATATCTTTGTAGCAGTTCTTAAAAAGCTTCAATGCTGCTTCCTCTTCAAAACACTGTACCTTTTTTTTGCCAAGTAACCATGTTTTGCTTTTGTCTTTTATGTTTAAAGAGTGGCAGCCCTTAGAAGGACATCAAGGCAGAGAGAAGTGTCCTGTAATTGTTGTTATCAGCTGCATACACCCTGCAGGATGGCAGTGCTCTGGGATGTTGTTTGCAGGCCCCCGCTGTGACCTGATTGTGTTGGGAGGAAATCTGGGTTTGTTCCATTCCTCCACACATGCTCATATCCTTGGGATGGGTGCTGAGTGTGCTGTGTCGTCCAGCAGATAGCTTGGACTGAATGAATGGGAAAGCCAGGACTGCTGGGATTTTTTCCCCCTTAACACAACCTAGTAAAGAGCTGCTGTGAAGAGAAGAAACCCAGGTCTGAACTGTTCTTGGGTGCAAAGAGCTGTCTAGCAATGCTGTTTGTCCCCCCTTCCTCACACACATGAAAAACTGTGGTTGAGTTCTTTTTGTCAGTCTAGAAAGGTTACCAGAGATTTTTCTTGTGTCTGCTTGGGTACTTAAACAGAAATGCATGCAAAAATTTGCAGATCCATTTACAGTCTTTTGATAGTAGAGTATCTGTGTAATGATGCAGGAATTTTACACACCTTTGAAAGTGTTTTCAATGGTAAAAACCAGGTATTTCCACTGGCTTTTGATACAAGGCATCTTCAAGTAAAAGATACAGAGGCACAGAAATACACTGACTTGTCTCTGTATGCAGAGTAAGTCAGATCAGAAAGGCAAGGTTATAATTCGGAAGGTTTTTTGTTCCTTTCTTCATTATTGCTAGTAGATCTCATTGCCACTGAATATGATTTCTGCATCAGTACCACTGTGCTTCCTCCCTGCTTCCTTCCCAACTCTAAACCTTCAGGTCATATTTCTTCCATGATTTTTTGTATACTGGGGATTTTATTTATCAGTGCTGAAATCAGACCTGGTTCTGAGTAAATATCCTAGCTGAAGACATTTCTGACAAGCACTTTGCATTACCATCTGGTCTGTCTACTTTTGGAATTGCAGGATCCCAGCCATGTTACAATAGTTCAGCGGAGATGAGTACATAAGTGAGAGATAATACACTGTTTTGCTCAGTATTTCTCTGAATTCTTAGAAGCTTTTCATTAGAAGTTTAATCTACTTAAAATAGTGGTTTTTAGTCTAGACATGTGTTCTGTTACTTCTACAAGTCAAACTTTTATTGACTGCTCCTACTAACTGCTGCTACTGTATATTGAAAATTGTACTCTTCAGCTGTTTATGCTTCACTCACATTTAAAAGATGCTGTGAAACAATTAATTAGAAGTGGGTATTTGTAATGTGGCTCGTATTTTCTTACCTTTCTATACAGTGTCTCTGAATCTTATTCCACAATGAAACAGCTTTCAGCAGAGACAGTTCGTCTCCTTTCAAGTTCTCAGGTGATTACATCAGTTGTCAGCGTGGTGAAGGAGCTGATAGAAAATTCTTTGGATGCTGGTGCCACAAATATTGATATTAAACTGGTAAGTCCCCTTTCTTTCTCTAACAAAGACTTGAACGTAAAATAAGAGGCAGGGGAATTTGTTCCACTGCAAATGTATTTTTTAGGCTATGAAGGTTTGGGGAAAGGTATTAATAGTAGTTATACATACATATTTTAATTTCAACTACAAATGGTCCAAAACCAGTTTTCATTAATGTTTTTGAGGCCCCACCAAAACAGTAAGGCATATTTGTACTCCTGAGTGTATCTTGGGGTAAACGCAGGAACTTCTTTAGTACTTCTTTTTCTACTTGCAAATTAACTTTCCTGACTAATAGTTTGTTCTAAAAGGTGTTGGGCTTAAGTTTTACTGCTAGATTGACATGTTCAATGCTCATTACAAAATACTGTCAGGAAGATGAAAATGGAAACAATAGAAAATGTTGATGGCCATGTTAGATATTGTTATAAATTACCACATGGTGAACTCTGGTTACTGCTAACATCTTATTTTTACAAGATGTTAAAAAAAGTTGGCATATTACTCAAGGATAATTGGGGGGGGGGGGGGGGGGAGGGGAACATGGAGGAGGAATATTGCTTGTAATAAAGAACTTGTGCTTTTTTTCCCCAGATTGGATTAAATGGCAAACATGATTAGTTTCTCTTGCTGCCATGAGTATTTCTGGTTTTGCGGTGTTTTGTCAACAGCTGCTTAGTATCAGCATTTCCTACTTTGCAAGAAAGTGTGTTGTTACAATCTGTATAAATGGATGTATCCAGAATTGCATCCAGTTTCCTTTCCTGCAAATAACAGTGAATGTATAAGCTATTCTTGAATTAAGTGTTAGGCAAATGCTCTTAATTAGGAGGGAAATCAATTTTCTGCTTGTTTTTCTGTCCATGTCACTGCTTGCTTTTCTGAATGAGTCTCAAGTGCTTTCCATCTGAGTCTCCTGCAGATGTTAAAGAGCATGCTTATTTGCCATTTGCCTTAAGTGAGTTGAAGGTACTTCTGTGATCTGTGATGACCTCTATCATCTCAATATGTAGGCTAAATAGTATCTTGTTTCATGAGTAACTCCAAAGTGAGCAGTTTGTGCACAGTTCTGGGGATAAGAGTCAGATCCTGTGAGCTGATCAGTAACTGCAGAAAGTCAACAGGTTTTAGAGCCTTCAGAAATTGTTAGAACAAACCTTGTCTCTTTTACTGGAGTGCCAATAGAGAGCCATGCAGATAGTGGGTGAAAAGCCCTCTAATTGCTGTGGGTTTCATGCTGCAATAATCAGCTGTTTCCATCATGAGAAGTCCCAAACCAATTAAAAAGAGTATTTT